ATCCATTGTATAGCTACAGTAGATTTATCTTTTTATTTTATTATTTGGACCTGCACTGCCACACTTACTTGTTAAATGTGTTTCCTAAAGCAAGATAGATATGTAGAGAGATGTTTTCCTGAAAGGCATACATATCATATGTTTTAGGTATGGTCTAATGAGTATGTCCAGGGAATGCCTACAGAAATAATATCCCTGGCAAGGCTGTTTTTCTCAAGAACTTTGCACTAGAAAAAGAATAATAATTTTTTAGTTGTTAAGGATCAAAAGAAATTTTTTTCTTGTCTATAAGAATAGGAAAGACTCCCTTTTGGAAAGTAACATTTTGGTCCTGCCCTGACTGAAAAAAAGAAATGTTGCTTTTATTTTTCCAACGACTGCCACCTGGTGGACATGGGAGATTCTTTTAGACAGTAGCTAGGACTATGTCTTAGTATTAACACAAGATGGCAGCACACAACCAGATTTTCAAAGAGCCAGACAAAAAAGAAATCAGTTCCACAGCTACTGGTGTGCAGCTAGCTGTTCTTATGGAGGCAGTTAAGGCATTCCTCTGTGAGGAAAAAATTGTTACATGATTAAACACCTCTTTCTTAGCAAAAGAGAAAGTGGGCATATGTGTGACAAACAGAAGGAAAAAAAAATCAGGATTTTTCTCCTCAAAAGAATAATGTTCTATTCCAACAGAATATGATAAATAGAAAAGAATAGTACCAAATAAGCACTCCACCCTCTTTTCCTAAAGACAAATGGAATTCCAAAGATTAATATCAGTAGAGTTTCACAAACCAGTTCATTCATTGCAATAAGGAGGACTTCCTAAAATTTAAGTGGTAAGCTAATTTGCTTATTAAAGATTTTCAAGCAAATGCATATTTTGTATGATTTTATAGTATTTTCTTTATATAGTGTAATATTTACAATACTTTTAAATCCTTCTTTTAATGAGCTCTTTTTAATTGATTAGAGATCAATTAAGGGATCTGTTTAGGCCACAGAGACTCGCACCCAAGCCTGTGCCAGTGACTGGTTAACCCCCGCACATTTCTGACCAAAATGCTGCCTGACCAGTCTGCTTCCCTATCACTTCAGTGTGTTAGCTTCTCTCAATGTTTTGTTCATCTATACTGTTGCAGTAGATTTTTCAATTTTTTAAAATTCTCTTTTTCCACCAAACTTTCACTGATATTTCTCTGTAGAAGGTATTTTACCACAAATCTGACAACTCTCATTTATTGAGCACTTACTGTGTGTCTGGCAGCATTCTGAGTATAATATGATAATTTATATAATTGATAAAACAAATTTATAAGGAGTATGTTGATTAAACGTATTTTACAGATGATAATACTGAGGCAAAGAGAGGTTAAGTAATTTTTTTTTCTAGCTTAAGCAAAGCCATTGGTCTTCCTATCAGCCCAGGTTTCTGAACAATTGCTTGCAATTATTCCATGTGGACCAGGGGAAACCAAGTGTTCTTTACATAAAGATGCTACCATCAGGAATTAGGCTTCTTTGGGTGAAGAGCACCATTCTGTGACCTTGAGAGGTTCTTACAAATTCTAAGGAACAATAAACTAAACCGCTTACCCCAAGAAAGAAGGGAAGTTGTGCTTTGCATAAGAGCCAAACTCTTCCCAGTCAATTCTGAATCATTTCAATGTGCCAGTCATAACCCTAGAGTTGTTAGGACTATAGATATAGCCTTGATTTCAGAAAAATACCAGGTTGTATTGAGAATAATGGAGAGCGTCCTGGCTGTAGAACTGGAAACCTTGAATTATAGTCTCAACTCTGCCTCAGGCTGTGTGACATTGGGTAACTGATTCGCCTCTCTGGGTCACATATTGTGATGAGCATATTTTCTATAGTGCCTTTTCAACAATTTTTAAGGCAATATGTGGATTTAAGGAAATGTTGTCAGAGCAGGTATTGTGGAAATAAACAACAAGTGGTGGTGTGTTTAATATACAATTGGAACATCAGTGGGAAAATGATCAGTGAGGTCAAAAGGTGGAGTTCAGTGTTGCATGTCTTGATGGAACCTCGCTCCATGTCTGTGGTGAGAGTGACATCAGTTACAGGCTTCTACTCAGAAAGGAACAGAATTCTCCCTCCATCCTCTGTATGGGCATTCATGCAGAAGACTTCCAATACTTCTGCAGGTAATGGACTAGCTCTTTGAGGACTAAGGGCAGGTGCTGATGATCGAGCATCTTCAGAAGAGCATCTGGAGGTCCAACAGGAATGGTGATACAATGGGGCATTCACACTGGGCCTCCACATCCACCCCACATCTGACCAGTTTAGGGGAACTGTCCCCGTGTGTAGTCACAGCTTGCTCTTATGAATAGTCTGGCTGATACTAGTTTTGCTAATGCTGAATTACAGCCAAACATTTTCAAGACTTCAGACACTAGGACAATTGTGCTCTTATAGCCATGTGACTTTCTTTGGATAAACAAATGAAAAATCCATGAGGGAGAGGATTCATCAATGGCACTGAACCTCAGAAACTCTGCACACCTCCTTCTGAGGACCTGACCCATTTGTGCTAAGTCAGAGAATAAAGACTTCAGCTACTCAGGTTCTCTGTTGTTTTAACAGTCTCAGATCCTCTGTTAGGAGGGTGCTTGGCATATTTATTTTTCTCAGATTTCAGTGATTCCAGATCTACTCTTGTGACCCAGTGAGCATTCGGAGTGCCTTCCTGCACTGGCTGTGCTCCAACAGGGAACGTAACAGACACAGCCCCTGCTTCCACAGCACCCACAGTCCCGTAGTGAAGACGAGCATTAATCAGAACTTCACACACATGTACTTGAAATTAAAACTGAGATGAGTGTTACGAAGGAGAGCAGAAATATAGGGAGTTTATTTTACCAAGGAGACTACCTTCCCTCTGGAAGTTATACCTGAATTCTGAAGGATGAGTGAAATTTCTAGTAGAAATATTATTGGGCCATTGGCCCCAGGACAGAGAAATTAAGGCAGGCTCGTGGTCTGGATTGCAGAGAAGATGAACAATGATGAGGCTGGAGAGGAGAGGGGGCAGAGGCACAGGTGCCCTGCTAAGAATTTGGGTGTTTATCCTAGAAGTTTCAAACAGGACAATGAGTCCACTAGATGTCCAATTCAAATGCTCTCTTTGTCTTCAGAATCCAATCAATGTACTTCCTTAGAAAAAGTATATTATTCAGGGACACAAGGCGATGCCCTGGTCTTCAAGAAGAAAAAAAAATCATATTCTGCAGCCTTGGTTTGGGTTTCTGTATTTGACCAACCATTCAGTTGGTCCTCAGATTCAGAGTGGTATCCTATGGAAAGTCTTCATATTGGCATCTACAGATCTCAAAGTATTGTGGTTTAGTTGATAAGACAACTTAAAAGGAAATACAAGTATTTGACCTATTTTAGCTTCAACAATTCTGGGATTTATTTATACATTCAACAAATATGTATTGAATACCTACTGCATGCCAGGCTCTAATTTAGGCACTATGGATACAATGGTTGACAAAATTATATCTAATAAAGAGGGAATATGCTAATTGACCCTCACACCATCACAAAGATGGCGGCACCCACAGCCAATAAGGAGGGAATATGCTAATTGACTGCCACACCCTCAAAGACGGCAGCCCCCAGTTCCCTCAGCCCCATCAGGGCGGCAGGCACATGGAAAGGCCGGGCCTGCCCCCAGGCTTGTGCTGCCAGCAATGGCAGCAGCAGAGGTCTGATGGGGGCATCGCCTTCCCCTGATCACCAGGTTGCCTCCTGCCCCTGAGGGCTCCCAGACTGTGAGAGGGGGCAGTCCAGGCTTAGGGACCGCCCCCTCCAGTGCATAAATTTTCATGCACTGGGCCTCTAGGGTGCATATACAAAAAAATTCATGCACGGTGAGGGGGGCGCTTCCTTAGCCCAGCCTGCACACTCTTGCAATCCGGGACTGCTGGCTCATAACCATTCACCTGCCTGATTGCCCCTAACCACTCGCCTGCCCGCCTCATTGCCCCTATTTGCCTCTGCCTGCCTGCCTCATTGCCCCTAACTGCTCACCTGCCTGCCTGATCATCCCTAACCACTCTGCCTGCTTGCCTGATCACCCCTAACCACTCTGCCTGCCTGCCTGATTGCCCCAACCACTTGTTTGCCTGCCTGATCACCCTCTGCCTTGGCCCCTGCTGCTGCGGCTTCATCCAGAAGGATGTCCAGAATGACGTCCAGAAGGCCGTTTGGCTGGTTGGTCTAATTAGCATATTACAATTTCATTATTATAGATGCTATTGTTGCCCTCTAAAGTATCTAAGGGAGGAGATAAACTCTCTACACACAACTAAGTAAATATATAACATGATGCCAAGTAGTGCTAAGTGCTATTAATATTAATAAGTCAGAGTAAAAGAATAGAAAGTAACAGGGTATCGTTTTTTGATAAAGTGATGGGAGAAGTCCTTCCTGAACTGGTAACTAAAACAGTTTAGCAGAAATCTGAATGAAGTGACCGAGTGAGCCATCCAGAGATCTGGGGAAAGAGGATCTCAAGCAGATGACCCAGCAGGTACAAAAGCTTTAAAGTTGGAACTCATTTAGCATTTTGGGTGAAAAGAAAGAGTGGAGCCAACCAGGGGCAAAATGGTAGGACAGTGTTGGGATCCAGACACATTCTATCATTTCACTAAATTGCAGTCAAGAGTTCATCTTCATGCCATACTCAGAGTGCTTGCACTTGTCTACACATATACTAACATGTGACATCAAGTATTTGTAGTTACAAATTGATTTTGCCACCTCCAAATGCACAACATTTGTTCCAACCAACCAATCTCTTTCCACATACCTTTCTTTCCATCTCTATCAATATGTGATTCTACTAGAATGCTTTTCCACCTTTCCTCTCATTCTCCTTTCAGTGGAGAGTACCAGGCTACTTTTGTGCTTATTCTCAATTGGTAAAAAATTTTTACCTGTTTTTGTTTTGCTAAATGTTTCTTTTTTAGAAATTGGCACGACCATGCACTTCAAGCAAAAAGGTATGGTTCTTATTTCTAATTACCTTCTACATGTTAAAATTAAAATTTCACAGCAGTGTGTTAGGGTCTTATATACTGGAGTTTATTTCATCTCAACTATTTGTGAAAATAATTTCCATAACACATTTGCCACTATTTATTCCAAAATTGTAAACTTTCTCTTTCACAAAAAGCCTCTACTACCCATGTCTACACTATTGCTTTAGTTATTCACTTTTGAATGTCTGGAACTGAGCAACTTATCCCCCTCCCACTTTCCTCATCTTAAGTGCCCATGGTTGATTCTTGCAGAGCTGTACTTTTTGGAAATGTTCACTGCCCAGTTGCATAGAACTGACTTAACTGTTACTTGTTGGCTATTCAAGTGGATATATTTCTAAGGAAAATAGAGTAGGGTCTCCTAAAACAAAGGACTTGAGAATTTAATACTCCCCCCTGCCTCAGCGTTCTCCCAGGTCTTCATCTACCCTCACCCTGCTGAAGTACACCAGGGTTGCTGGGATCTCCTAGGAATTGCCCTCCAACTGCCCCATGTACTTCCATCAGCCATGTGGCACATAATTCACATACTTTTCCCTACAACAACAATGCACTCAGGTTAAAGCTTCAATAAATAGACCCTAAAATGCAAACAATTACCAATTACCTCTTTACAAGTTCAAAAGAAATCTCTAGACCAGAGCCACAGAGGAATCTTTGTGGCCAGATACCACCCTCCTTAAGTCCTTGTGGCCACCCACTTGGATTGGTAATTGTCTTTTATGAAGATGTCTTCTTCTCTGAACCTCAAAGGAGATGAGACAACCAAGATCATTATCAATAGTGAAAACGATTCTTGTGTGTTTTAGACCCCACCGGTGACCAAGAACCACAGAGATTATGGACACATTGTTGCTTATTCAGGAAAGGGCCAGCATTTTGTTTATATCAGCTCTAGCTAGTCCCCACAGAAGGCAGCAAGGAGGAGGCAACCAGAAATATATACATAGAACCAATATCATTTGGGGCAAGAAGATCTAAGCTACTGCCCTCTTCAGCCCTTCTCTCCCCAATGCCATGATTATCAATTATAGTTGAATCTTAAGTAGTGGAACATAGGATACCTCAGGGCTTTGGTGTGGATATAAAAATAAGGCACAGGTTGTGTGTGTGTGTGTGTGTGTGTGTGTTTCTCCAGAGACCATTGAGATAAATTCCAACTGTCACCCAAAGAAATTCTAAGTATTGGCCTAAAATTTCAGAATTTTACATGGCAAAATATTTGATGCTGTTTTGATGGAAAAGATGTGATAATTCCAACTTTATTGTGAAACCCTACCCAAAACTCACTTTATAGAGAGGGGAGATAATGCATAAAGAATTATGTAGGAGGAGCCCAAATTTAATTATAAGACACAGGGCTCAAGGAAAACATCAATGTATCTCTTGTTCTACTCACAATTTATTCAGCCAGAGGAAGCTAAACTGGCTGAATATGGACAGCAGATGGCGCCAAAGTCAGTCTTTTCAGGCTTCCCTTAATTAAACATGGCTTCCCAGGCCTCTACGTGCCTATCTGGATAATATTTAAGAGAGATTTGGGAGATTATTTTTTTCTCTCACTTAAGTGTTAACTATGTTGTTTAAGTTTTTATCTTATTTTAAGTCACTCAGTCAGCCCTTAGTAATTATAAGGAGTAATTCAAACTTAAACTTGTCTGGCCTTCCCTCTTTTCTTGTATGGCTGAACTATGTACAGGAATAAAATTATGATCGACCTCGATGGCTCAGGATGAAAGGCTTGCCCAACAATCACTAAGGGTGTGACTAATGATTATATTGAATACATCTAGCCCCCAGTCTTTGAAATGATATCCAGGAGATCAACAGAAATATCTTGTCCAAATTTGAATCACAAAGTTTCACTAAGAGTGTGCTCTCTAAAGCAGGTGTTGAAAAATCACCTGTCCTTACTTTGGGATTTTACTGAAAGACTGATCAATTGGCTCAGCATCCTGCATCAGGTTTGTAGTATATACACTTTGCCAAAAAATACTCACATTCCTCAATTTCAGGATGCTGTATCATTCTTGCCCTGAGTCACACATTCCCTTTTTAAGCATTATGATGGCAAAGTGTAATCTAGCATTCACCTTGACACAGTCTCATTTATCATCCTGTCCTGGGGTTGAGAACCTAGACCTGGTGAGTTGACTCAAGACTTTCAATCTTCCTGCAGCTAAATTTTGCCCCTTTGGGTCAAACATTGAAAGCCTTGACCCAATTCACAAACTAACCCTTGGATTCAGGGGTATTTTGTGCCTTTCTGTAATCCGGATAGCTATAGTTAATAGCAATAATGATTCTGCTACCATTTGTTGAATATCTACTAGATACCACACATGTAAGCATGTGCATACACATATACATACGCACGTATAGAATGTGACTGAAGATCAAGATATGGTATTTGTCTGTTATGTGATAAGCGTGTAGCAATTTTTGAATTGTGGTTCTATTTGCCCATCTATTCTTAAGGCTACTTCATGTTTGCAGACTCTTGCTTTCATTCTATCTGTCTGTATGGGAAAATACTTGCTAAGCCTGGCCATCTGGTGTGGGAAATAAGTTTTACCATTTGCATTTCCTCAAATAAGCAGAAATTTCATAACTATGAACTAAAACATAATTAATGATTTAGCTGATTATTTTCCTCAAAATGGCCATTAACTGAAGTACTCTCCTACGCAGTTATATATACATATCTATAATTGCATACCCCCTTGTGATGATTCCCCAACTGTCTCCCATTTACCTTTGCATTTTTCAAGCCTATTTACTTACTCTCAAAACCAATTGTGAAAAGAGAAAGTCATATAAGTACATCAAATAGCTATATGAGAGCACTTAAAAAATAATAACTGACAGATCTACAAAATTCACTTCAACTATGTTATAATTTTATTAAGGATAAAATTAAAGATTATTAATAGTCATATACTTGAATTCCATATATGTAACATAGAATATCATGTGAAAGTGATAGTTTATTCTCAGTTATGTGTATGAAAACACCAATAATACCAGTGTATATCATATGTATATATATGAATATGCATATAACATATATTCTTCTCTAATACCTATGTATGTACATAATTAGCAAAATGTTATATTAAACATGTTTATCTAGGTTCATATATGTCTATATTTCAATGATGGAATTTCTGCTTTCTCAAACATTTACTGCCCTTCAAAAAAATGGTAAGACTAGGCTTCTTAGACTTCCCAGGTACCTTCAACTCCAAGATGCCTTATGATAATCTAGTCTATACCAGCACTAAAAATAAAGTTAAAGAAATAGGCAGGATTAGAGTCTTTCTGGGAACCTTCTGTTTCACAGCATCCCTATCTCAAATCTGTTTAACCAGGAATGACATAAGTTTGTGTGTAGTCTTTCTCTGCTTCACTGACACACTAATTCAAACAAATGTGCCACTGAGCTCATGCTACCTACAGCATATAGAGGAGCTAAAATGCCCATCAGGCCAGAAGCCTTGGGAGCTGCCGTTAAGAAAGCTTAAAGATACCACAGGGCCAAAGGTAGGGAGGAGACAAGTAGAGGGTGAGTAAGGCTCAGAACACTTGGATTTTAATCATGATTCCTAATCAGGTGCATCATGCAGGAAACATGATCTTCTTGAACCTTAACTCCTCATGAAAGGTATGAATCTCAAGGTAGCTAAAGTGCTTTTATATTAATATGATCCTATAGCCACTCAGAAAATTAAAAGATTGATTGATTGAATATTTAAAATTTTAATCTGCAGTTTCATATCTTTACATATAATAAAGCTCATTTTATACTATAACTTTGTTGTTCAAAGTTTGTATATATTCATATTTTATAGTAATATTTTTAATGCTTAGAAGATGCCATTCTAGTCTAAATATTCTATTGAAATCACTTTTTTAAAAAAGATAATGGATGTCTTCATGTTGATTTGTTTGTTCTGGCTATTGTTTTAAGCAAAGACAAATTTCATTTGCCAAATGTTGGCCAAGAGACTCATTGGCACCCCTTCGCTTGATAACTTGTGTAGTAGTGACAGGCAAAGACTGGAGCCAGCTGCCTGGGTGAAAACCCCAGCTTACTAGCTGTGTAAACTTGTGCAATAGGTTTCATCTCTCTCTGCCTGTTATCTCGCTGTAAAACTGGGCTCATTGAGTACCTGCCTCACAGCATGGTAGTGTGCTTGTATTTGTAAAGCATTTATAACAGTACCTTGCAGTAAGAGCTACCTAATTGTCTACTGGTTTTGTTTGGTTGTTGTTGCTGTTATAATTTATTCTCTCTCTCTCTCTCTCTCTCTCTCTCTCTATATATATATATATATATATATATATATATGGAGAATGTTTTTGATTTCAACACTTTCCCTGTAAATTTACCTCTAATCTGGTATGTTTATTGACAATTTTGACAACATTCACATACCAGAGATGCTTCATTGCACTTGAACCATCATAAGTTTAAACACACACTCACATATACACTCATTCACACAGATTCGTCTGCATGTGTGCCCTCAAAACTTCAAAGTGACCCATAATTATAGTCACACCAATCTCTCTTTTGAATGTCATCATCTAAACATACAGTCTTCAATCCCAAAGTCTTGGTTGTGAAAAATACTAGTATTTTCTTTTTAAAATGATCTTTACAAAAGAACCATACAAAAGGAGAGAGTGGACAAGCAAAGCATAGGAGACAAGCTCTTCAGAGCAACATTTTCTGCCCCAATCCTCCTCATTCTGTCAACACATACATCGCTTCTCCACTTTCCTTTCCAATCCAATCTCCCTCTTGGATCTATAGCCACACTTACACACCCCAATCCTGTCCACCTGGGGAAAACCAGTCACACAGACTGTCACTCCAGGTTGAATTCTGGGCAACTTCAAGCTTAGTCTTGTTTCTGGTTTGGACCTGCCTCTTTAACCTCCCTAAGTCGTGTTTGTTTGTTGTTTTTCTGTTGTTGTTGTTGTCTTTACTTTTGATTTTTAAACTGTCAAAGTTAGAGTTTGGACCAGGTGATCCCCTTCTGCCTCTTAAAATTCTACAATGAGTTGACTTAATTTCCACCTTGAAGCTCAAGTGTCACCAGTCATAAATATTACTTGGAAAGAGCTCTCCTCCCTGTAACCAATAAATAATTACTGCTTCCCCCATGAGAAACAAGAGGGTCACAGATTGGTTCCATGTTTTATTGATGGAGATGCTGTGATAAATCAGCTGGAGGAGCCCGTGTCTGGCTGCAGAAGGACCCTCACCAATGGTTGGAATCTTAATGAGTGCTGGCTTTGGCTGCCATGCCGAGTGGAGCACGCAAGAGGAGGCTGGGTGAGGAGGGACCTGCCACGACCTCAGACACGTCAGGGACAGCTGGTTTAGGATGTTCTCTGATGAGATCATTTTGTATCTAGAGGTGTTTGAACCAATGATAATTCCTAAGATACTTATAGTTCAAGAAGAAGGATTAAGGAAGGAATGTGAGACCTTGTGGAGCTGTACATAAGCACACTGACTTGGAGTCACTGGTGCCTACCAGACCTGCCTCACTTCTGACAGGGCAGCAGTCAGCTCTAACACAGAGTGGGCCAGATGTAACCATTCTCTTTTTTCTCCCTCTCTCCTTTGCTCTGCAGGACCTGGGTCGGCGAGAGGAATAAATGGATCCATCAGTCTGGCCGTACCACTGTGGCTGCTGGCAGCATCTCTGCTCTGCCTTCTCAGCAAATGTTAATAGAATAAAAATTTTAAAATAATTTTAAAAAAACACACAAAATATGCGTCACACAGGATACAGAGAGAGAGAGTGAGATGGGGGGAGACTGTTTATTTCACAACTTTGTGTGTTTATAAATAAAGGGGGAAGTAAGAAAAAGGAAGAAGACAATACAACATTTAAAACAATTCTCAAGTCCATCAATAACCATTTGAGTATGATTCAGGGTGGGAAAAGTTCTATTAGGCTATGTGTATGTCTAAGCAGATATATGCTGTGTGAAGACCCATCATGCTAAGGACATCCAGGTGTAAAACTAGGACAAGTGAAGAAGTACCAGATGGATATTAACTCCCCCACACACTTGATCCTTCCTTCATCTTTTTTCATCGTGAGGGGAAAAGAAACAAGGTCTTGCCTTTGTGTGTATATTGCCATCAACTTTTTCCTCTGTTTTCATTTGAGCTGACTTATAACCATTTGAGACTATCAGTGGTATCCAAGCGGAGTCCTGTGTTGAGCCTTTCTCTGGCTTTCTGCCTCCACTATCAGCAACTTTTAAGAACATCTCCTCCCACTCCAGTGTGTTCTATCTCCCCACATTCATCCCAGATACCCCCTTTTTTATCTCCACCCCCCACACACTTCTCTTCACTCCCACCACCCTGAGCACTAGTCATGCCGCAAACGCTAGGAAGTGCCATTTTAATTTTCTCTGCTGTGCGTGCGTGCTCGCGTCTCTCGCTCTCACGTGGGTGTACATGTGTGTGCGTGTGTGTGTCTCTCTCAAGCATGCCAAGGGAATGGTCCATGTGTACATAGACTTCGTGCTGTAGATACTGTCCTGCATTTGTAATTGTGAGACGCAGCTGTGACACATTGCTGGGGGCAGGGTGGGGAAGGAGGCCAGGAGGAGGGCCCTTCCCCATCCATGGCTGTCACCCAACATCGGTGTGTGTTCACACCATGCTATGCCCCTCCTAAGGGCAGAACCTCATCTTTCTCCTAGTCCAATCATCAGAACCCAGTCAGGAGTCACTCAGAGTATCACTGTCAATGAAAGTGCCTACTAGTGATGGGGTGAGCAAACAGTAGAGAAAATCGGTGATGTGGATGAGGAGAGCTAGGAGAAAAGGTTTCTGATTTCACTCTTGTTCCGTGAGTCTGAGGGATTCATAGGTTTGCTGGCTTGTTGCAGGCTGGGTCCTGCTCTGCTGCAGGGTGAGCAGCATGTGCTGAGTAAATCCCCAGATGCAGGAAGGTCTCCCAGTGTTAACTCCCAATGGAAGAGGAGGAGCCATGTGGAGATCCTAAGCAACCCTGTTTTGCTCCCTCCCTAATTTTCCAATAACACTGCATTCGCCCATAGATTCCTCTGAGCAGAGATTGTTTCCTATTTCAGACAGGATATGTGAGAGTGAGTGAAGCAGGAAAAGTGAGCAGGGGCTCAGATCCTTACTCGAATTGTAGAGATGCTGACAGAACTCAATACAATGCATTGACCATGACAAAAAGGAATCAACTCCTGTGCTCCTTTGCAGACTTTTGTCCTGGTTTTCTAGGCTAAGACTTTATTTGGTTGCCCACATTATCTCGCTCCTGTTCCACTGCTGGTGTCTGCAGCAACATTGGTCATAGTAGTCCATCTTTATCCCAGGCCAGGCCACTAGGAATGAAATTATATTCCAATTTCCCTGCTCACTTTTGGCTTCTAGTCTCCTGAAAAAGATGCAGTGGGGAATATGCTGTTTAAGGCCACATCATCAGACAAGCATCATCTTGTCATTAACACTGAAATGAGAGTTAGTGTCTTAACCAAAAGAGCCGGGAAGCTTGTAATAATTTACACAGAAATTGTATGATTAACACAAAGCTTGGCATCATCACAACATCAGAAGGATTTTCTTAGGAAAGGCCTTGCAGAGAGCTGGCTCTATGTGTGTAGATAGCTTTGTCAGGAAACCAACCCTAGAGGAGACATTGGAAGTGACTGAGTTTATAAAAGGACAGAGGATTATTATTGAGGTCATAATTGACAGTATTTTAGCAGAGCCAGACATGGTACCTCACCAAGTTTTGAAACCTGAAAAATAGCTGCCATGTGATATAAAACAGGAAACTTCAGAACTGCAAATCAATAAAGGAAGTGAGGAAGAAAGGAAAGGAGGGAAGGAGGAAGGAAGGAAGGAAGGAAGGAAGGAAGGAAGGAAGGAAGGAAGGAAGGAAGGAAGGAAGGAAGGGAAGGAAAATTTCTCTTGATAGATTTTATTAATTGAAGGCTTTTTGTGATAAGTCTGTGAACATAACAATTGCCTTGATAGGCAGTATTTTTCATCTCTTCTGAGAGATTTTATTCTATTTTAGAAGTTTTTCACCATCCTTTTATGATTTTGCAGTTTAGACATGAAATTGAAGAACAAATTGGGCTTAGGGATCTGTGAGAGTGTTTGTGGCAAATCCTGCTGTAAGACAGGTAACTACTAAAATACAGGGGAGGTTGCCATGTTCCTATGCAGCATCAACTTACTGACAATCAGAGGTTTCTCTACAGCTTGGTCTTCTTAGTACAGGATTGAAAGTTTATCATCCTTGATAAATGTTCCCCATATATATGAAGAGCCAGCCATATCCTTAAGTGGAAGCTTCAGAGAAGTACATGCTAATTTAAAGATATATAAGATGCGAAGAGTAACAGGACTTAATTCAGTTTAGTGTCAGTTTCAGGAACAGATCCCAGTGGCATGTCACAGATTTTAATCATACACCTAGATTTCTTTTCGTCCCCACCCTATCATAAAGACAAGGTCTTGGTTTTATGGAAGGAGATATTCCATTGAAAGGAATGTCTTTGCCATGTTGGCACCATTTGTTCCTGAGTTTTAATATGAACCATATATTAAACATAATTAAACATATACTGGATATTGTAGTGTTTGCATATATTTCTGGCAAGAGCTGGGGATTTAAAAAATTCAGCCTGGCTCCTGTTTCAGAGCAAACAGTGACCCCAGAAATCTCATAGGTATGAGAATGTCTCTAAGCAATGTGAAGAATGCAGAATACAGATTAGAGAAAAATCAGAAAAAACAGGTAGGAGCCATCAGACTGTCACCATGAAATTGAGTTTGAACATGGGACTTTTGAAATTTAGTTCATCAGCTTATCATATTGCTATATAAATCCCCTCAAGAATCTTGTCCATTGGTAATCAAAGCTTAAACCCTAAACTAAAAATAACCAACTTGTTAGTATCAGTACTCTGAGAGGAGTGAAGTGCATCAATTAATCTGAATGGCTAATAGATTTAATGTTCTTTGTATGCAAAATGCACCTCACCATTCATAAAACAAAATCCTTAGACTTGATTTCCTGTTAAAAAAGCAGAAATACCCTTGATCCAGGGCACTTCTTGAAGAATGAGAACTAATCCTAGGTTTTACAACTGCAGAAATACATCCTCTGGACAATTGTTCATCAAAAGGTTTTTGTCTTACTTGTTTTGCCACATAATATCCCTCTACCCTAAAAGAACTGAGGCTGATGGGAAAGTCATTGAGTTTTCTGTTGGAAAGAATCGTCCCATTGACCTTTGCCTTCTCTTCCAAGTCAGACAGACTTCACCCTTGTCATGGGCATTTTTAAAAACTACATATTCAGACAACTGGGGCTATTCATAGAGACCTTGTAAAAGTACTCGTGATTTTCATGTTCTTGGAGGACAGAAACAAAAATCTGTTTCTCCTCCAAAAATGGATTTACCTCCTTTGCACACAAAAACTAAACTCCTCAGCATGAAATTGTATCTGAGTTATCACCTACTGAGTTGTTAGCTTATAAACAACTCGAGTCATAGTTTCCATCCCCAGATTGGTTGTGGTTTGACTGTTTCTATTGGCTTGTCTCCCAGAATTTCTATTTTGTTTTTTGCAGGCCTTGAATTATTTGTGGAAAAATAATATATGTGTGTATGTATTGCTTTTAACCTTATCTTTACAAATGCTATATTTACAATTGTATGTGTATTAGAAGACTCTAGAACAATGGTTTAAACTTAAAAGGAAGAAAAGTACTGAATTTGGTTTAAAAAAAAAAAGAGCTATGATTCATTTAGAAAGACATGGAGCCCCATTTTTTTCAATTTATTATTTTTTGTTTCCAAGCAATTTGCTTACGAACCATGTTCCATGGGATTAACCATGGCCTTATTTTTCTCTTCATAACCTTTTAGCTTAGATATAGTCTAGGTTCTTAATAACTATCATTTTTATAGAAATAAAAGTATAATGCAATTACCTGACCCATAAAAACTACTATTATTTTGGGACAAATGTTAAATATATCATAAAATAGTGAGATAAGAGCCTAAATTAAGAAATGCAAATCAGTTTAGAAAACCTCCTTCTTTCTTTAGTATTTAAAATATTTCTCCTCCAAAGACTGCTTTTGCCCCAGTGATGTAAATTCTCCACCATGGTTGGCATAATATCTGTAAATGTCTCCCTAAAATGCAAAATGAAGTTTACATTTATGTGCATACTAGTGAAAGAGAGGCAAACCATTCTCATTTATATGTAGCTCTGCTGTCAAATGTGGCCGACTGAAATTCAAGAAAGAATTTTTCACCCAGCAATGCCTATTTCTTTCCCCCTGGCCGGGAAGCTGATGTTAACATTAGGTTTAGGTTTGATATTACACCAGTGCAAATGTTTGTGGATATTATGGAAAACTTATTTTAAGATCTTGATTTCCTTTCAGCATATTTACATACTGTGTGCTGATTAATAAATTAGGCACCAATCATGTGTAAATCAATGTAAATCACTAGTTTATGTACATAATAAAAACTATGTAAACTTCAGTTTTCAGGCAGGGCTCAAGTTCAGTGAAACCTATGAATCTTAGAAAAGAAAAAGAAAAAGAAAAATAAATTAAAACCAAAGCATTTCACAAGTCAGAATGGGAAGGAGTATGACTAATGGCCCAAACTCAAGGTTGCCCCAGCAAAGGAAGCAGACCCACAGGAACTGTTAGGGATTCATATCTTGCTCATGTCACAGGAAGCCACCTCTTTGTTTCTTCAGGACCAAAGTGGAGTTTCTCCCAACTGTTTCCACAGTTTTCTCACCTGACTCCAAAGCAAGGGAAATGATGAGATAGGGAGGAAGGAGTTTTAAGAGCTCATATGTATCTGATGCATCAACTCCCAAATCTTTTCTTGATACTTCTTACTTACCATCTAAAACATCTTATTGAAAGAGCTCCAAGGAAGTCACCTACACCTTGATGCAGAAAATATTACTCTGTTTTCATTTTCCATCCATCCAAATGAAAGCTTCTTTGTCATCTTAATCCTAAGAAATTGTGGAATATAAGAAATAGGTTAGAATTTTGAGAAATATCTTGCTAAATCATGCTAGGAAATAACTACTTTTACTTAATCCAGTAGACTTATATTTCTACATATCTATTCTGAATATTGCAAATCAGGACAAAATCATTTTAATTGGGCGTATCTCTCTCAGACACATTCTCTTGGAGTTTTTTGAAATGTCTGATATGTTTAACAGACATATAGACTTTTTCTAAATTCTAAACAACTGATACATAAAGAGTCATAGGAGAGATGACTTCAAGGACCACATGAGTTTTCTGAAAGGACTGTTATAAAAAGAATTTAGGTCAAATGAATAACATGCTTAAAATACACTCCTTGACTCAAGATGCATGGCAACTCTAAAGTGAAGTGGAAAGTGTACTGGGTTGGGAGTCAGGAGAATTGGGTTCTAGCCCTGGATCTGACCACAAACAAGCTATGTGACCCTAAGCAAGTCATTTAATCTTCCTGACTCTTGGTTTTCTCTTCCTGAAAGTGAGGAATTTTCATGACATCTCTAGAACCTCTGTCAACTCTAAGCTCTCTGATTCTAAATAAGAATGTGATGCTTTTGTTAGTGCTGTGCCCAGTGAATCATTCCAAGCAGCTATTTGTCAGCTCTAGTTTGATCTGTGGACTATCTTCTCTTCTCAGAACCATCATTCCAACAACTCCATTTCTAAAGCCAAATCTTCCTAGAATATAGATAGGATCCCTGGCCTGGTTCTGTAATTCTCTTCTGATCAAAACTTCTTAGCAATGTTGAAAAGGGACATATTCAGACTAAACTGAAGGCACTGAAATAGCTAGAGATGTTTCCTTATTTATCATAACATCTAACTGTTGAATTATATTGTAATAACCTTTCATAGGAAGGAAAACAACCAGATTGTGGATTGTGCACGTCACAAGTGAGGAAGTTGTGCATAGGGAAGGAAACATCAGTTTTCTCTCATCCTGGGCCAAGTGCCTCCCTGTGGTCAATGTATGTCCTTGAAAATACTTTGCTTGTGCTGATGACAGTAAGCATGTGGTTCAAAAGGCAGTTCTGTGAGAAACGGGCAAGATAATATATTTTGTTTGGGAAGGAATTTTGTACGGCATAAGTTTCCCTAAACTTGAATTATAGGCTATGAGGTCAAGCAAGTAGATGGAAAGAAAACAAACCTCATTTTCAGAAAGTGCAAGTTGATACCATCTAAAGAAAAGTTAAAAATAAACACTTTTTAGGAGGTTACAGAGCTGAATATTTGAGAGTTGTTGTGAGGGCCAAAAACCAAAAGTGAAGTTAAGTTCTCTGAGAAGAGGGTAAGCAGAAAGGATGGTTTCTTCCGTGGTGAATGAAGAATTACTTGTGCCATGTTCTGGATGGGTTGAGCAAAGACCCACTTGTCTTGACCCCTCAAAGTATAGCTCTACACCATCCTAGAGGCTCAATTCAGCATCTGTCCAATGGAAGCTTTCTATGCATTGCCTAAGAGAACAGAAAGAATCAGAGTCTTCTGTACACTGAAGAGGAGGGATTACACAAAACTTCCAGCATCACTATCACTATATGTAGCTGAGGGAACACCATTACTTAGGTACTTCCAGAGCTCTCCTTGAGTGCGGGGATGGCCTGCCCTCAGGACAGCTCCCCGTTGCCATGGGCATTTCAGAGGTGCCTCTCTCTGAGTGGTGCTCCTCCATCTGCTCCTGCAGCTGCATTCTTCTCTGCACAAGCCCTCTCTATGTAAAGCCAGGCACAGTGTTCAAATCTGCTTCTTGCAAATGAAAACACCTGGAACTGCTAGCTTCCTGGCACGCGGAAGTAATTCTAAGCTACCTGGGGCCTTTTTGAACCCACTTCCCCAAGTCTTTGCTCTTCACCAGAGAATATCAGTGGTTCATCCTGGTGAATGATGGCCAAGCTCTGCCACCCAAGTATTTACTGGGAGTGGGGGAAGGTGGAAGGCAGAAAATTACAGGGGGAGAGAAGCATGGGAGAAAACCTCCAACTCCCTCCCGCCACCCCCAGTGCTTCACCCCTTCCTCCTCACTGCTGTACTGAATGGTGTATAAATCCTGCTCTTGGTTAGAATTCTCCTTATTAACAGTGTTATATACATATAAATATATATAAATATATAAATATATTCCTTTTTTCAGCCCTGTAGACATAAACAGATCTTTCCTTGATATAAACACATGGCCATTTTTCTGTTGTTTGTTGTGTTTCTTTTGGTTGTTCAAGGTTTTTAATTTTTGTTTATTGGGTGGGTTTCCCCTCCCCTGGATACTAGCTCTGTGAAGGAACATAAAAAGCGCAGTGTGTGTAAAAAAAAATTAAAATTAAAAAAAGCTTTTTTCTTTACTTTTTCAATGTATTTAAATTCTGTTTCTCTCTTCTGTTACTTTACATGTATGAATGCTCTGCTCTTCTGTGATCTTAAAACAAAATGAAATAAACATGAAAAGGAGATGTGTCTTCATTGGCCTGAGTCAGTGATCTGTGGTTGACTGCACTACTTCTTAGAAGTTTTCATGACTAAGACCGGGAATGGAGCTGAGGATAACGGAAATCATGTGAGCAAAGGGTGGCTGGAATACTGCAGACTCACTCAAAAGCTCTCTATCAATGCCCCTTTTCTCTTACAGAAGGGAATGTGGTATTTACAACAATTGTCTTCATCTAAGCAAAGAGATTATATGAAAGTTTTTCTTTTTCTCCCTTAAAAGATCATAAGAAATAAGCACAAATTACCATAGGGAGGCCACAGATAAAGAATAAAGTTCTTGAATTTTAGAATTTAAGGCATACCAAAAAAAACATTAGGGAGCATACTCTTTCTTTAAGTCTCCATTAGAGGTTATCTTTAAGGGTTACTTTACATAGGATCCTACCTGATAGTACTAGCTTCCAAATCCACCTTTTTTTGTCCTACATATGAAAAAAACAGTTTGTTTTCTATTCTTGCTGAGAGCTATTACCTTCTTCACAAAATGTTTCCAGACTCTGCATAGAATCCCTATAGCACGGTACAAGACAGCAGATGACAAGAGAAGACAAGAAATAAGCAATCTACAATCTAAAGAGGTCAGGTTGACCAATCGTGTATCAGAAGTAATTGAGAGGGTCTAAAGTTTAAATACTAGGAGCCAAACTAGGTCAGAAAGGGAGAGGGTGGGGAAGTAAGCATTCATGACCAGCCCCAGTAATCAACAGTGTCTCAGAAGCAAAACCCCTGGTCTCCTCAGATTTAAAGAGACAGCATTGAGAACCCCCAATCTCCCCAAATTTGAATTTTATATAGAACTCTGAAAATGTTCTTCTTCAATGAGTTTGCCAAACTCAAGGTTAAAGACTGAGTGCTCGCCTTGGCTGGAGTTCTCAGTGGTTAGAGCATCAGCCCAAGCACCAAAGTGCTTCAGGTTCAATGCCAGATCAAGGGCACTGCCTGAGTTGTAGGTTCAATCCCAGCCTCGGTTGGGGTGAGTATGAGAGGCAACCAATTAATGTGTCTCTCTCACATTGATGCTTCTCTCTCTCTCTCTCTCTCTCTCTCTCTCTCTCTCTCTCTCTTCCTCCCTTCCACTTTATTTAAAAATAAATGGCAAAAATATCCTTGGGTAAGGATTTTTTTTTACAAAAGAGACCAGTGCTCAAACAGGACAGCCCTCACATCAAACACCACTAATTCAGGGTCCTCAAGCCACCCTCATTTATTATTTAATAATTTCTAGAATGACTTGCAAAACTCAGGGAAAGTGTTGTACTTATGATTAAAATTTTACTATAGCAAAAGGATGCAGATCAGAACCAGCCAAAGGGAGAGACACATAGTGCTAAGTCTGAGAATCCCCAATGTGAAGTTTCCACTGCCTTCTCCCTGTGGAATTAGGACACATTACGCTCTCAACAAACTGATGTGTGACAGAACACAGAATGTCTCCCAGGCTTTGGTGCCTGGGGTTTATATTGGAGTTTCCATACATAGGCAAGATTGATTGAATCATTGGTTTCACAGTTGAACTCAATCTTCAGTCTCCCTCCCAAGCCAGGAGTTCAAACTGGTATCACTATCACATGACTCAAAGCTCCACTACTTTAACCAAGTGACTGGTCTTTCTGATGTGGCCAGTCTCATACTGAGTCCTCTCCTTAACATATAACTATCTATGGACCCACCACCAGTCACTTCATTAGAATCCACTATCAGCTGTGGCCCAAGTGGAACCAACATGAACAACAAAGAAACTCCTACTACAGATGCTCTTCCAGTTATGATGGGGTTACCACTGGATAAACCCATCCCATCAGAAATTGAAAATATTGTGAGTCAAAAATGTCTTTTAATACACCTAACCTACAGAACATCATAGCTTAGCCTACGGTCGGCAAACTGCGGCTCGAGAGCCACATGCGGCTCTTTGGCCCCTTGAGTGTGGCTCTTCCTAAGCCTTAGGAGTACCCTAATTAAGTTAATAACAATGTACCTACCTATATAGTTTAAGTTTAAAAAATTGGCTCTCAAAAGAAATTTCAATCGTTGTACTATTGATATTTGGCTCTGTTGACTAATGAGTTTGTCGACCACTGGCCTAGCCTATGGCAAACATGTCAGAACACTTACATTGGCCTACAGTTGGATGATTATCTTGAGTTTCATCTCAAGAGTAATTGCTTTTCTCTCCTCACCAAACGCAGGAGACACAGATGGGAGTTTTATAGACAGGATGGGATGCAAAAACACAAAACATAATATCTGAAAAATGCTGGCAACACAGTGCACTGTAGAATACCGTTTGTTTTCCTTCATGACCGTGTGGCTAAGTGGGAGCTGTGGCTCACTGCCACTGCCCAGAATCACGAGAGAGTACTGTAATGCATGTTTCTAACCCAGGAAAAGATTCAAATTTGAAGTACGGTTTCTACTGAATGCATATCACTTTCTCGAGATCTTAAATTGAACTATCCTAAGTGGGGGAATGGCTGTACTGGAAATTTTCAAGGACCTAGAGGTTACCTCCCAGGGACAAAGGTTAGCCAAAGTCTTTATTATATATCCCTTGTTGCCAGTCTTATAAAAAAAAATCACCTGGAGTCTCTAATAGCATTGTCCCCAGCTGGCTTGAGATTTTGTTTTCTTTAAGCCACAGAAGCTTCAGGGTTTGAAAGTTGACACCACATTGAGGCTTTGTCATCATTGGTGCCTCAGAAGAAATTCCTCCTAGTATACCCCCCTTTTTTCTATGTCCATCTATTTAAAAGTATGTCCAAAAACAGAATATGAGAGCTGGGAAGAAGGTGAGTCTGTGATTCTAACTTCTAATGGAAAGAGCCAGGTTTTTTTCATCCTCGTGTTCTTCATAAACATGTTTCCCAGGTCTGGCCAACCTCTCCCAACTTAGCTCTTCCCCAGCCTAGACCAGCTACACTGCCCTGAACAGACTTAGCCAGGTCTGAAGAATTATGTAGCCCTTCCCAGTAAGAAATGAGTCAAGAGGTGGCATGAGTCATACCCATTAAATACATATGGGCTGCCCCAAGACACAGACATTCCTCTACCCTACCTTCTACCCCACCCTCGCTCACCTGGCAGCCACATTCTAAGACCTGGAGACCCTGTCTCAGGGGGTGACTAGTGATACAATATGGAAAGATACAGAACTTGCCCTCTGTATCTGTTCATCCTTTGTTTTACAAACACCGTCTGCTAGTGGAAAAATTCCAAACCAAGTTTCTTTTTAAAAAAATATGAAATATGGTGTATTATGGAAATAAGACAATTGTATGAGAAGCTGGGGAAGTAAGGATCTGCAAAGGGAACTGGAAGATCAGCCCTGCTGAAGCACTACTGTCTCAGATGGACAACTAGGAATTTACAGGAGAATATGGGGCTCGAGGCGCATCCAGCTGGAGCAGGGTGGCATGGGAGAGCTGGTGGAGAAGTTAACGGAAGGCTCTTGCCTCTGCTCTGTTGGTCAACTTGAGGTTGCTGTAGGTTGGTCAGCAAAGCAGACATTGGTAAAAAGAGCTGGACACAGATCAAGGTAAGAGAAGAGCAAGACACAATTGTCTGTCTGTCTCTCATGGCATCTAACCATTATGATCCTCAGACAGTATGACTGCTGCTTCACTTCCAATTTCCCAACCTTGTGTAAATTCCATTTTTGGCCAATGTTAACCAGGAACCATACAAGGAAGGACTCTGGAAGACATGGTTCCAGCTTAGCCCATTGATCACAGCACGAAACTACCACAGGCTTTAACCTCCTCTTACATATTGTGTACTTTAATTACAGATTTCTTTTTTATCTGTATGGGCATGCACACATACACACACATAGAATGACCCTGAACTCTATGAGCACAGGGAATTTTATCTGTCTTATACACCTCAATGTCTAGATCAATGCTCAACATATAGTAAATACAAGGTGGGGCAAAAGTAGGTTTAGAGTTGTTTCATGTGAAAAATCCTATATAATAAAAGGCTAAAATGCAAATCGAACAGCGGAATTACTCATCGCTATGACACACACTGACCATCAGGGGGCAGACGCTCAATGCAGGAACTGCACCCTGGTGGTCAGTGCGCTCCCACAGGGGGTGTGCCGCTCAGCTAGAAGCTGGGCTATTGGCTGGCAAGTGCAGCAGCAGTGGCGAGAACCTCTTCCGCCTCCGCGGCAGCGCTAAGAATGTCCGACTGACAGCTTAGGTCCACTCACCACAGAGAATGGGCCTAAGCCATCGGTCGGACATCCCCCAAAGGTTCCTGGACTGTGAGAGGGAGCAGGCCAGGCTGAGGGACTTCCCCCCCCGCTGAGTGCACTAATTTCGTGTACCGGGCCTCTAGCAATACAATAATAAATAATCATACAAGAATAAACTGTGTTTTGTGTACTTACAACTGTATTCAATTAAATTGAAATCATAAAACCATCCCACAAGGGATACTTCACACTATTTGTTTCCACTGGTAAGTTCTAGCAAATATTTAGCGAAGAAATATGAATATTACACTGACTCTCTTAGAAAATAAGAGGAATTAGGGACACTTCAACTCATTTTATGAGGACAGCATAACCTAATACCAAAACCTAACAAAAAATTAATAACAAAAATACAGAATGATCTCTCTCACCAACATAGATGAAAATGCGAGTACATCTCCCATGGCAAATGAAACTAAGGAGAAAATAATCAAATGGGACTACATCAAAATAAAAAGGCTCTGCACGGCAAAAGAACCATCAACAAATGAAAAGGGAGCCCACTATATGGGAAAATATATTTGGCAATGATACATCAGATAAAGGGTTACTATCAAAAATATATAAGGAACTCATACAACTTAACAAAAGGAAGACAAAAATACCAATAAATAAATGGGCAAATGACCTAAATAGACACTTCTCCAAAGTGAACATACAGATGGCCAAGAGACATATGAAAAGATGCTCAAAGTCACAGATCATCAGAGAGATG